GAAGAAAAATAGACCCAAATCTGCATTGCGTTGGCCTAGGATCTGACTTCCTTAACAAGACTCCTAAAGCGCAAGAAGTAATATCAAGAATCAATAAATGGGATGGATTCTAATAAAAACTCGCCTTCTTAAAAAATAATAAATAAAATATTCTTTATCAAGTTCCAACTTATTTTTTCATATGCTCATCAATAGAAGTTTAAAAAAAATCTAGATGAAATCAGAAAAAAAATTATTCAGGAAATCAAAGAAAATTATTTATCTCGTGATTTTTCCAGGTATAATTACATAACATTTAAAATGCATCATGACATATTAGAATAATTTCATGTACCCAAAATTGAAGTGGGGAAAAGACCAGCTTGGATCTGGACCGCTCCCTAAAGTCTCATGTATTCCCTGGGCAGCGGTGCTGCAGGGCAGTGACTGGATCATGAGGACTCGGGCCTCCTCAGTGGATTACTCCATCAATGGCTGAATCAGCTACTGGGGGATGGGACCAACTTGGAGTAAAGAGGTCACTGGGGACAAGCCCTGGAAGGGTTTATCTATCTTCCTCTCTCTCCCACCCCCGCTCTCTTTCTCAACTGCCATAAGCGGAGCAGTTTCCTCTACCGCACTCTTCTGCCATGATACTTTGCCTCAGCTCAGTCCCCCAAGATGGACTGAGACCTCTGAAACTCGGAGCAAAAATAAGTATGTCTGCCTCCAAGTTGGTATTTTGATCACATTGATGAAAACTGACCAACATAGGATGAAGAAAATACTATCTCCAAAGACACAAGAATGACATCCGTTTGCTCATGCAACATGGGGTGCTGAAGAACAAGCAAGATGGTGGAACTTGCATCAAGTCACATCCCTGAGTGACTATGTGGAGCAGTGTCCTTCTCCTCCTTGTTAGCCAGCACTGAACATAAGAGTGTGAATAACAAATAAAAGTTTGCTGTGTTAAGTCCCTGAGATTTTTCAGTTGATTTCAACATAGCCTCACTGAGCCTAACAGAGCTCTTGGTGCCTCATTAACTATTAACAAAAATCTTTCCTAAACTGATTTAAGTTCTGTTTCAATTTTTTCTCTATAAACTGACATGTACCCAAGGTAGTTAGTTCCCTGTTTTAATACTTTATTTGGGAGGTGATTTTATTAGAAAAGACATTGCTATCTCCACTGAGCATGAGAAGTTAAATGAAAATGTCCAACAAGTAATTTTGCGCTCTCAAAATCTTGTCCTTCTTCTGCCCCTTTTCCTCGCTGTCCACAAAAATAAGTGCAGAAATTGTTCTATTTATGTGTGGATATAACCTCAAAAAAATTTTGAGATTCTCATCTAATACCTCTTCATTCTTAGAATCAGTTTCTACCCCTTATAAAGCTATATCCATATTTTTGAACCAAAGCGTGAGAAAGAACGAATTTGTTAACTAAAAAAGTCGTAACTCAAAGTTTATCCTGCCTCTAGATAATTTGAGAAGCCTGCAGACTGTTTTCCAGCAATGTTCTCTATAGAAGTAGGCCTTCAGCTGCACACGTCTTGCTTTGTTGACCCAGATGTCCCCATTCCCCCTCACATTGTCACATTCTGTGAACAAAATTATGTGCCTTCCAGAAGAAAACATATGTGGTCATCGATTCCTTTACTGCCAGCTCACAGCATTTTAACATGGAGTTTATTTTAAAATAAGCCAAGAAATCCTTGGAGTCTAAGTCATTTCCCTATTAGAGGTATGAGACTTGGCCTCACAGACCTTTGCGGGGGACAAAGCCCATTGATACCGTGAGTCCCTTGGCAACTCAAGTCAGAACTAAGCAGGTCTTACAACAAAACTTTATAGACACAGCAAGGGGGAAGAAATGAATAAGAAAAACATAACCTTGTATTCCAAATGCACTCCCATAAAACTCCATAGTACTCACTGGCCAGCAGGGATCTGTCAAAATAATTTGACAAGCACTCTGTACTTAAGAATTCTGTGAAGAACTCAAAATAATCATGGGGCCAGAATTTTAAGCACATACACATGAGAACTAAATATGCACCATTTGCTCTCACTACGTATACTTGGACTGAGAGCAGAACGCGTCCTTCACGGTTGCTTAATGACATGGGAAGACAAAAACTGTTGATAGGCTTTTGTATCAAACTGGAGGATATTTTACCATCCTGGTAGCTCCCTCCAGAGTTTCTCTTAGGTAAACAGATGGCCTTACTAAACACTCACACCAACACCCCGAGACAAGCCCCTTTGCTGTAAGACCTGGGGTCTAGAGATGTTTAAATGTGTGCAGAATGTCCTGGGTGAAGCAATGAGAGGCAGACGGGACCAGGAGCCCGGGAAACGAGGACAGCAACATGATGGAAGGAGCGAGACCTGCTGTGCTGGTGTAAGTGGAAAACCCAGAAAAGTCTGAGCTTTGTGCCTGCTGACTTCAGGTGGAACAAGACAGCACCAAGGGACACCTCAAGAAGTAAGTGGGAAGTGCACAGAGTCAATGCAGATGCACGCCACTCTTACAGGCCAGGAACTTCAGGGACAGGCGCCCAGTGTACACAAGCCTGCAAAAGACACCAGTGCCCCAGCTGAGAATGATATTCACCGCCATCATCAGTAGCATTTGTTAAGTACCTAATTATGTACATGGTTCTAACAGCTTTATTTGTATTAACTCATTAAATCCTTGCACCTGCTTTAGGAGGTACTATGACCATCTCCACTGAACAAGTGAAGAAAATCACTCACCTAAAGGTCAGATAATGTGCTCCAGGGCACACAGCCAGTAAGTGTATCAAAGACCCATTCAAACCCAGGCCCTCTGGATTTAAAGTCTGCCTTCTTCACCGTCATGCTATGTCTTTATGCTTAACCAAATTAAATGATGTGATTTTATCATTGGTGACAGAGGCAGGTATCATCTCATGTGGGTGTCGTTTTGCTTTACAAAAGGCCACATAGTTCATCTAACTCAGTCCTCCAATTAATGCAGAGTTCCCTTGGAACACTTTTCTTATAATAACAAGTGACGCTCATACAAGAAACCTTTTATGATGGGGAAGCCCTTGATCTGAATTTTACTAGAAAAAGTCCTTGAAAACTTTTGAAGATGGCAACCCCAACCCCACCCCGTCGCCAGTTTTGTCAGTACTTTAGAGGACCAGTTTTGTGAACTGTCAATGAAAAGCATAAGTTTGAAAAGCATCACTTAAAATTACACAACAAAACATCAGACTACATGGTAATATATGAAGTATTCTTCACCAAAGAAACCAAAGTGGAAATCTTACTGTTTCATTAAACAATTTGTCTTTTCTGTACATGTTGAGACAATAAGATTTATATATTTGAAGACAACTGAGTAACAAAGGTATATACCAAAACTCATCTTTGTGTTAGACAACCAGGATAATAGGTTTCAATACCTACAGAAGGAAAAAGAGAGCAACAGTCACCCAAATGCAAGATGGTGGCTAATGGGTCATGAGTAGCAATGTTTCAAGACTGCAGTAACACAACTCCAAGTGGTACAAACTGCCTACTGTGGAAAATAGTGACTATGATCATTACTGTTTGGCTCACAGAAAAATAATAACATTTAAATTAATAGACCAATATTTTCTGAACAATTACCAGAATTTTAATTATATCCATGGGGTCACCAAAGGAGGTGCTCTTGATAGATAGCTGTTTTAAAAAAATGCTTTCTTTTGCATTCCTCAGCAAGATTAGAATTGTGTTCCATCTTTCAAAAAGAATTAAACCAAAGAAGAGATGGACATTCTGGGCAGGGGGTAAGACATTTTAAAGTCATTTTATGAATACACAATTAAAGAAATCATGAAAAGAATTGCACAAGTGTTCACAGAGCTCCAGTCTTGCCTAGATTGTGAAATATGAACTTGAAAGGCAGGAATATCTTAAGATTGTTTAATTTCCACCATTTGACCTGGTTATCCCACTCCTTGGTTTATGCCCAAAGGACTTAGAATCGGCATACTGCAGTGACACAGCCACATCAATGATTGCAGTAGCTCAATTCACAATAGTCAAACGATGAAACCAACCTAGGTGCCCTTCAACAGAAGAATGGTTAAATAAAATGTGCTAAGTATACACAATGGAATATTACTCAGCCTTAAAGAAGAATGAATTATGCATTTGCTGGTAAATGGATGGAGCTGGAGAATGTCATGTTAAGCAAAATAAGCCTGTACCAAAGAACCAAAGGCCAAATGCTTTCTCTGATATATGGATGCTAATACACAATTAGGGTGGGGGGTAGGGAAGAATAGAGGTACTTTGATTTAGACAGAGAAAAGTTAAGGGAGGGGAGGGGTATGGGCGTAGGAAGAAATGAATTGGACATTATGCATATATGATTACATGACCAGTGTAACTCCACATCATGTACAACCAGAAAAATGAGAAATTATACTTCATTTATGTATGCTGCATCAAAGTGCATTCAACTGTCATGTATAACTAATTAGAACAAATTTAATAATCTATTTTAAAAAAGTTGTTGAATTTTATATTGCAACCATTGAATATAAATATTTTATTTTTATTATTAATAAACTTAAATCAGTAAAATGCCTCATTTCTACAGCATTTGATTAACATTTGGGCATCTATACACACTACTGCATATGAAACAAGAGTCCTCACATATGGTACTTGGACAATTATTATGCTCCTCACCCTGAAGGGAGCATAAGAAAATCAATCCATAAATACATAAATTGCCTTACTACACAATTCTCCCACTGAAAAATCACCACAATCAAGAATCCATTTTCAAGGGAAATTCAGAGAAAAAAATACAGTTGTTAATTTATCAATACTATTAACTCCCTTCTGCAAAGATCCAGGCCCAGGGATAAACATACTCGGGCAATTCTAATTTGGTTCATAAATGAAAAGAACAAAATGGACCTCAAGGTTTTCAGGTTATAAATGTCACTAAAAGAAATACTAGTTTCAAAGACTTTTCAATTACATACCAAAAAGTCATGAACTTCCTAGTCCAGTTCCTATGAACCTCCCAGGTCCACTTCTGCTGTCTCTGATCTACGTAAGAAAAAGACAACAAAAGTTTTCATGAGACTTCAGCCTGAACTCTGATTGAGTCCAGACTGAAAACTAGGAGAAAACCATAATTTTGCCACATCAACCCCAAGAACACGCAACAAAATAGTACATTTATCCAAGTGGTTACTACCCTGTGTCTCTCCCATGGGATGAGATAGAAAGTTCTATCCCAGGGAAGAAGATGTAAGTACTAAATTATCAGGAAACAAAACTGAACGCTTTCTGAAAGATAAAGTGAAAAATGATGTTCCAATTTTGTACACACCCCCAGATGCATTTTTTATTTTACTTTAAAATACTTTGAAAGATACACACGTGACTTTAGAATTCCCATCTGTTTTCCTAGAATTTTGCCAGTGGAAAAATATTTCAAATTAGTACTAATAATCCCACATTTTACCTAGCCACATATTTTAAACATACAGATTCTTCTTTTTATAAACCTGTGTATTTGTATATCATGGTTTAAAAAATGTGGGGAAGGACATATTTAAAGGTCTGTGTTTAATAACGCAACTGGTTTGAGTATTTGGTTTAACTTTTTAAATTTCTCCCCAATTTTTTATTATGAAAATGTTCAAAACTACAAAAGGAAAACTCTTGTATAAATAGATAACAATGAACACCTAGATAGTCTCACCTGGATTCTCAAAATCATTAATGTTTTACCACATTTGCTTTATCACTCTTTGTGTGTGTGTGTGTGTGTGTGTGTGTGTGTAGCTGGACCATTTGAGAGTTGTGAATATAAAGATCCCTCCCCTCCTAAGAAAAATTGTCCTGTCATAGTTATACAATAATGATCACAATCAGAAATTTTTATGTATTTATTTATTCATTTTGGTACCAGGAGTTGAGCACAGAAGCACTCTGCAACTGAGTTACATCCCCAGATGGTTTTATGTTTTATAAACATAAGTTGCCAAGGCTGACCTTGAACTTGCAATCCTCTTGCTTAAGCCTTCCAAGTTGCTGGGATTGCAGGCTTGTACCACCATGCTCTGCATAATCAGAAAATTTTAAATCAATTTTAAAATTTTAAAACAATTACCTCAGATGTACAGTGCAAATCTCCCTAATAGTCTCAGTAAGGTACATTTGGGTCTGGAATATTTATTATATTTTACTTTAAATCCATGATCCAATCAAGTATCATCAATTTTTACACAGAGTCCTCCTTTGGTATTCATGGGGGATTGGTTCTAGGACCCCCAAGAATGCCAAAATTCATGATACTCAAGGCCCTTATTATAAAATGGGGTAGTGTTTGCAGAGGACATCCTCCATAGCTTTAAATCATCTGTTGGTATTATACTCACTACAACATGAATGCTATGTACATAGGTCTTATACTACTTTGTTTAGGGAACATGACAAGAAAAAAAATGTTTGTACATGTCCATACAGAACACTGTTTTCTGAATATTTTTGACCCAGGTTGTGGAACCCGTGGCTGCAGAGAGTCAACTGTGTTTTTGTGTGTCTATTGTTTCTTGTTGTCTTTGGCAATAGACATCTTTTAGAGTCAAGGCTGGTGGCTTTGCACAATGTCCCTCATTCTGGGTGTGTCCAGTTGTTCCCTCACAATTAGAACTAGAGTAACACTTTGGGCAAAGGTACCCCCATGTTGAAATGCTTCCCTTTCCTTCATACATGTTACAAAAACACATAATGTATTCTATTAATAACTAAATAGAAATAGCCTCCTATGAAATAAATTTAGAGTCCCAGTTTGCAATTTATAAAATGCTTTTAATATGAATGAATATATTTAATTTCTACTACCGTCCAATGAAGTAGGTAGTTTTTAAATTATCCTCCCTTTTTTAATAGAAATATATCCAAATTCATATAACCAGCAGGGTTATTTCTGTGCCCAATATTTAGGTATAGAAACCCTGTGAATATCATGCTATAGTAAGAAGCCTTCTATTTTAATGCTAAATAAATTTAGATCTTTTTTCCTCTTTGGCAACCTGTACTCCTCAATGTCCAGATTTTGTGAACTTAACCATTCTTATTTTGTTGTGTTAAATTACAAGATGATATTATGCTCTATCTAAATATTTTCCAACTATAATAATTTGAAATTACAATAGTTAAACCAGAAACAATGTAAAAGTAAATGAGTGTTAGCTGCATCAAATGTCAGGTAATTGGCTTTTTCTTTGTGTTTGTCTTTGTACCTGGTGTAACTAATAATACCCCAGCTCTCCCTTTTTCCCCAAAAAAAGATCTTCCATCATCATTTTCTACTACTTCCCAAAGCACCTTTAAAAAAAAAATTTTTCCAATCCTAATGTTGTTTAGTTTGAGGTCAAGTCAAGGAAAATTTGGGAATCTGTGTTTTAACTTGAGACACAGCTAATAATATGAATCTCTAAGTAGACACTGCAGCTACAAAGACACAAACAGATCTCCTCGTCCTGTAGGACTAGATTCTAAGAGAGTAAAAGCCAGACAACATTTGCAGTAACACTGAAATTTAAAAAGCAATACCACCCAGTCCAGGGAAGGATACTGCAGATGCGTATCTGGGTAGGATTAGACTCAGATTTACTATCTAAATCACTTTGAGTTTGGAAAGATCTTAAAGAAAATAGCATGCAATTTTCCCCTGATAAAATCCACTTTACCACGTCCGGAAAGCCTCAAATGGGGTGACGGATCAAGATCCATTTACTCTTCCATCCGTGCACAATTTTCTTAACACTCAGTGATTTCAATAGCTCATTTTGGAATGAAAGAGAAATTTAAAAGCCCCGAGCAATGAATGTGACATTGCTGTCCTGTCCAGTATCCAATTTCATAGAGAAGCAGGAACAGGATCTAGAAAAACACCCAGAGAAGGAACTGAACTCTCTTTTCAATGTTCGCAGAGTTCTTCAAGTATAACATTATTTTCTTTTGAATTGGCATATTATGCACCCCCTTAAAGGAAAGATCTATTCTTTAGTCCTAGAAAAAGTATTATTCTCATCTTTCATCTGATTTAGGTTGTAGGTTAAATGCAGCAAAGGCCACCCCATCCATGATAATAATGCACTAAATATTATAAACCATGGAAAGGCAGGGTGGTAGGAAGCACTTCAACCGTGAAGTCTTCAACAGAACATGCATCATTCTTCTCCCCACTAATCCTCAACAGACTCCTATTATCTTCAAATAACAATACGAGGAGCTTCTTGCAGTTAATTTAATCACTGTAATTTCCTAAGAAATAAAGACTGATGTCTCTTGAAAATTATTCCAATTATATCCTGGAACATGAGTTCAAAACTCTTAAAATTACCACTTTCAATAATCTATTAACCTCCCCAAGGGTTATTAGTTAGTCTCACAATCTTCCTAAAGCAAAGAGTGATATCAGTGCCCACTTTTTTTTTTTAATTCAATAAAAATTAAACTTTGTGACACAATTAATTTTCAAACTCTGCTCAAGTTCAACCCACTGCAGGTTTAAACTAACCCTTTTAAAATACATCCTGAAGAGCAATTCCTCGGCTAAGAAACAAAATAGATCCAAATGCATTTAATCATACCACATAAACCCTAACCGTGTAATCACCCGAAAATAAGTAGAAGATAAGTTGATGGGGAAGGAAACTCACAAAAGCATCAGTGATAAGAGGTAACAGCAGAAATGGATTTGCTCTGGTTGAAATTTAATTTGTGCTCAGTCCTGGACATGTATTATTCATCTCATTTTCACAAGAACCATCTGAAATTGCTGTCATTACTGCCATCTTACAGGGGAAGGCGGTTGTCTGGTCGCTGCTGCTCTGACAACCCTGTGTGCCCTTGGACAGGTGCCACTCCACTGTTCACAGGTGGCTGCCTGTGCTGCCCCATCCTCCCCCAGACAGCCCCCAGCAAGCACCTCTTTCTGATTATTTATTGGAAGAGGACTTTCCACAGTGACACACACTTTCCTTTGAGCATAGCTTGAGGAACAGAAAGCAGAGAAGCGTCTGGGTCGCTGGCCTCTGCACCAGGAGCCCTGCCTCCTCCCACACGACAAGACTTCTTTGCTCAGATTGGCTTTGACTGGAGGCCTGTGGCTCCCCCCACCCCAGCCCAGCCTCTTGGGGGACCTTCAATCCATCTGTCATGTCTGTGCATGTCTAAACCACAACTGCAGCAAAATTTTCCCCTTGTCCAGGGCTCCTGGGCCCAGACAACACACCTGTCATGCGGTGTGTTGGGAGCCCTTGAACTTTCTGATGGTGTCTAGCATTTCACCAAACTCTCTGTGTCAGCCCGGAGGCGACCCTACCCATGCACACAGACCTTTAGAAGTTGGTTGGCTATAGCCTGACTCTCTTTCTTGACCCAAAGTAATAGGTCAAATATCAGCTGTAGGAGCCAAAATTGATGACTCTCCAACTGTCTTGTGTTTTGAGTTTAAGATGCTGTGATGCAGTTGATGAGGATACAGCAAAGCACAGGGGGAAGGAAAGACAGGAAGAAGAGGGAGACACAGGGCAAGGAGCCCTCTGCAGCGAGAGAGCTCAACCCCGTCAGTGTGAGCTTTGAGCAGGCAGGGCAGACATGAAGAGGGGACCAGAGGAGGGGAACTGCCGTAAGAACATGGAAACCAGACGGGAGAGTGCTGGAAATAAAACCCACTTCTCTCTGTTTCTCTTTCCCTCTGTTTCTCTCTCCCATCTTGGAAGTTCCTTGGCCGGCCCCAAAGCTCCAGCACACTCACTCTAGAATCTCCAAGGGGAGAGATTGTTGGTATCAACCACCCACAGCCAGGAAAAGCTTCCTTTCTGTACTGCTCCATGACCAACATACAGTGTGTGGCACGTGCAGTCTGTCAACAGGGCCTCCCGATTCAAAGCCAGCCTCAGCAACTTAGCGAGGGCCTGAGCAACTTAGTGAGACCCTGTCTCAAAATAAAAAATAAAACAGGCCGGGGATGTAGCTCGGTGGTTAAATGCCCCTGGGTTCCTGAGTTCAATCCAAGGTTAAAA